AAAAACTTCCAATACAATACATTAAAGTATAATGAAATGCTCTTTAATTTATATATCCTTTATTTCTCTTTTAGAAAAATAAATATATTTTTTGTTATAATTTTTTTTTTTTTTTTAAATCAAAAAATAAATACTAAAGTCTTATAAAAAGCATCTATAATTATAGAATAAATTAACATTCTCCAAGTATAAAGATTTATATTATTTTTATAAAAATACATTACAATAAAATTTGATATAAATCCACTTAAAAAAGCGTTTTATTTGTTTTCTTTTTAAGTTATTCTTCTAAAGATACATAAGAAACTTTTTAGAAAAATATTCTAGAATGCAAAAAATAAAGGCAAATTATAAAATGATTTATCTTTTAAAATAATTAAGATTTAATTTCTTAATTTTTTATGAGAATTTATTTATTTTATTAAAAATATAATAAATTTCATTGAAACTACTAGTCCAAAAGATTTAAAAAACCCTTAAATTGCATTTAAAAAGCAACTACTATTATGCTTACAAAATATGGTTTTACTACTATAAAATGAATGCAATAGATTAGAATTCTTTTTTTTTGACTCATTTTTTTTCTTTAGTTATATTTTAAATTTAAAGAGTTTTTTTTTAATATTAATATGTAATATATTAGTTTAATATATTATATATTATATATAAATCTTTTCATATATAATATTATTAATAAATATTCTATGTATACTTTTTATAAAGTATTTTAATTTTTTTTATAATAAAATTTAAAAAATTATATATTTTTTTATATTTAATTATTTATATTTAAATTAAGTTTTAATAATCTAATATCATTAAAATATATATTTTATATATCTTTTTATAGAAAAATCAATTAATTTTAGTTTATATAGAAGAAATTAATTCATTTAATAATTAAATTTTAGAATCGATTTCGGTTTTTTAGAGTTAAAGTTTAGTCCTAAAAAGATTTTCAGCAAATACTTTTTCTTATAATTAATAATTAATTATATTTAGATCTTTATAAAGTTTAGCTTTTTATATTCTGAAACTGTTTTTATACCATAAATTAAATTTTTTATATAATTAAAAGCGTGTTATGTTTTATTTTTTAAGTAAAATTAATTTAAATAAAGATAAAAAATAAATTTAATTATTATTTTTATATGATTTTTATTATTCGATTTCTTAAATATTTTTATTAGTATTTAATTATTAATTTTGTTTGATAGTTTAGCTTTTTGATGATTAATTTTTATTTTAAAGAGGAGTTTTTTAAACTAAAAGTGGACTTTTTTCCCTTTTAGGGCAATTGTATGAACTCAAAAGATTATTATTATTATTATTATTATTATTATTATTATTATTATTATTATTGTTATTATTATTATATTTATTATTTATATTATTAATATCATTTTTATTTTAATTATTATTAATTTCATTTAAATTATATCTTAAGCAATTAGTTATAAATTTATGAAAAGAAACTACAATCAATATTTTTTCATATTTCCTTTATCTACTTAGTATACTATTTAATAAAACTATAATCCTGTTTTAAAAAAATTTTTTTCTTTCAAAATCAAAAACAGCCATTTCATATTCTTTTCGTTTTTTTGAAAGTTTTTTCTATACATATATATGTATATTTTATATTTATATAAACTTTTTATTTTACCATTGGAAAACGTTAATTTTAGTACATTTTAATAGCTTATTTTTCCCATTTTTATTCTAGGAATTCTTTTGATTGACTATCGTATAGAATTTCTTATATTTTTTATGAAAACGAAGTCTTTATTTTCCATAAATAAAATGATAGATTTTTAGTTAAATTGAAATTCTGCTTTTGTTCGGAGATTTTTATGGAATTAAATAACCATAATTCAATAAATTTTATTATGTTTTTTTTATTTTTTATTCTCTTATGTATTACTGTATTATACTTTCTTATTAAGAAGAGTTTTTTTAAGAATCGAAATTTAAAATATTCTCTTAGTCTATTTAGTATTATTAATTATTTATGAGACTTTTTAAATTAGTTAATTCATGTTTTAGTTAGTTGTTTTCTTGTTCCAAAATTTTGTAATTACTTATTTTTTTTGGCATATTTAATCCTCTTATTGTATATTTTAAGTATTTTCGGTTATTTTTTAATATTCGTCGATGTCATTTTGGATTTATTATAGGAGATTTTTTCTATTTATTAAATATTTAAATTTTTGTTTTATTTTGTTTTTTTACTTTTTAATATCTTTGATTTAAATTAAATTTATATTGGAGAATTTTTGTTAGATTTATGAAATATTGTTTATATTTAATTCTTTATTTTCTTAAAATTCATTAAAATTATTAATTATTTAGTCTTTTTATTCTAAAATTAGTTTATTTTTTTCATTAATATTTTATTTTTTTAAAATAAAATGCTTTCTTTTGCTTTATTTTATTCTTATTCTTCTAATATATGATATTTTTCCTTTTATTTATTTAAAAATTTCTTTTAATTTTAGAGTTCTTCGTATTCTTTTTTTAAATAATTTTCTACTATTTACATTTTGAATCTTTCTTGGAATAAATTAAATTCAACGTTTTTAAGTGTTTCACTTTTTTCTTCAAGGAACTTTGGATTTTCTTCCCAATTTTTAAATAGATCCCAAAACTTACCATTTTTATTAAAATTATAGTTATTTTAGACAGGTAAAGATTATATATAAGATTAAAATTTTATATAAAGATCATTTTTTTATTATAAAAGCCTCTGCTCGAGTTGTTAAGGGTCTCCAAGTAAATTTAACGGCTCAAATTTTAACTAATTTATTCGATATTCGTAATCTTATTGTTGTTATTTTAACTCTTTAAGCATTTCATCATATTATTGAATCTTCTAATTTAATTTTATTTATAAATATTGCATATTTTAATCTATATCAATATATTAAATTGAGTTTTTTTGTTATTATTATAGTAAGTTTTGTACTTTTATATATTCATACGCAATATATTTTTAATTTCTTTTTTTTTTTAGGGCTTATTATCATGTTTTTTTTTTTACATTTTCGATTAATATTCGACTTGTACAGTATGTAATTTATATATTCCTAATATAAATCTTAAAGAAATTTCTTTTTTTAAAGCTTCTTTTAAATATGCTTTTTTTTAAATTTTTTATTGTTTTTTTTTCATAAATATTATTTTTTTACTGTCTAAATTATCGTTACTTTAACTCGATTAACTAACGAGCTGTGATTGCTTATCAAAAAATTAGCCTTATTTAAAATTATTAAAGTTTAAAATTTATATATTATAATTACTGTTTTATAAACCAAAACTTATTCGATCTGTTATATTATTCATTTTTATATTTTAAAATTAATAAATATATATATATATAACAATATATATTTATATATATATATTTATATATATGTAATATTTTTTTTTTTAGTATTATTTTAAAAATTTTATATATATATTTAAATTATCAATTTAATTTTTTATATTAATATATATTTTTTTATTAAAATTAATTTTTTATTTTTATATTAATGTAATTATAAAAAAATTTATAACTTTTTTTTTTCATTTTCTATTATTTTTTTTTAGTCAAAAATAAGAAAAAAAGAAATTAATTATTTTAATTTAATTATTATAAATAATTTAATAACAAATTTAAATGAAAATTTTTTTAATAATAAATTATTTAATTATTAATATACATTTAGTTTTAAGGAAATTTCGAAGTATTATATATGTAATAAATAAACAAAAATATATTATATAGATACAAAATCAATTTTATATTAATATTTATAACGTTTTAAAAAAAATAATATTATAAAAAAAACATATTTTATAATTTAAAGAAAATATATAAAATTAAATATTACTAAAAATGAGATAAATCTAATAGAGTTTTCAAGATTAAAAAATTGGAAATTTAGATGCAATAATTTCTTATGTATAGACTATTTAAAACAAGAATAGTTATTATAAATATAATAAATAAAAAAAAAATTATCCTATTATATATATTTATATAAATAAAATAAAAATAGAAAATGAAGAAGAAGAAGACTTATCTTTGTTATGTTCTCGTTTGTAATATTAAGTTAATTAATTAAGTAATGAAGTTAAAAATTAAGGTATTTACATGAATTTAAACATTGGAAATATAAATAAATAGAAAGAAAGTTAAATTTAAATTTAAAAAGAAACAAAAAAATTTAATTCAAAGTCATTAAATTAAATAAATACAGTATTTTTTTTTTAAAAATAATAAATAAAATAAAATTTACTTATGAAAATAAAAGAAAAATATAATAATGTCAGTTTCTTAGAGTTTTTTTTAAAGAAAACAAGAAAAAAATAATAAAAAATTAAAAATTATTTTTTCGGTTTACTTAATTAAAATAAGCAGGGAGAATTTCAAATACTTAAATATAACCGAAAAATATAAGAAATGATCCTTTTGCATCTTTACCTCCTTTAAATGAGAAAGATTTATAAAAAGGGCTATTAAATTTAATCAATATTGGTATAATTCCTAAAGTATTAGATTTAAAACCTGCGTTTAATTAAGATTTACCTTTATTATAAACTCAAAAAAAGTAAAATAAAATAATTTTTAAATTAAATGATTTTATTTAAAAAAAAAAAAAAAAAAAAAAAAAAAAAAGAAATTTAGTTTTTAAAAATAAATATAAATATTTTTAAGATAATAATATTTGTAATTAATAAGAAGAAGATAATAATATTATCTAAAATAAATATAGATTAGATTAAAATTTTAGTTGTGTTTCTTAAAATAATAAAAAAACTAATACTATCAATAATAATCTTTTTTTAACTTAAACAAATTAAAAAATATGTAATTCAGTTACTAAAAATAATAATTTTTAAATCGAATTAAATTAAAACTAAAAAACTTAATTCAAAATAGGTTTATAAAATAAAGAAATGTAATTAAATTAGAAAAAAGATACTATTTTATTAAAAAATATACATATTTTGTTCATTAAAGATGGCAAAATTCAAATTGATGAAAATTATAAAGATATAAAATGCTAACATAATGAAGTGTGGGGTAGGATCAATAGTATTTTTCAAAAACTGTTAGCTTTTTGTATTAAGAATAATATAAAAATGGCAAATATTAATGGTTAAAATGTAATAAAATTGGCTTAGGAAGATTTAAAGAAAATAAAAATAGAAGATTTAATAAAATGTTTATAAAATAATGAGATGATATATAAAATGTTATAGTCTTAGAAAAAATAGGACGAATAAATTGGAATAAAAATGTTTTGTTTATATAAAATGAGAAAAAGTATAAAACAATTAAGTTAAATGAAAATTTAGAATAATATTTTAATGCAAGAAAGAAATAAATTATCTGATTATATGAGATATATAGTAACTAAATAAAAATTAAAATCTAAATGGAAATAAAAATTAGATATATATTAAAAGCTATAAAATTAATTTAAAAATACTTTTAGAAATGCATAAAATAAATAAAGATTCGAAATTCATATTAATAGTTTAAATATTGATGTAATATATATATATATATTAAATATTATGTTTTTTTATATATATAGGAATTTAAAAGAGAAACTATGGTGCACTTTCATTAAAAAGAAAATACTTAGATAGGTAGAATTTTTAATTTAAAAGATCCTAAAGTAAGTATAATTTATGTCTCAGCTTATTAATTATAACAAGAAATCATATCATATTATCATAAAATTTGTGAATTGGCATAAATACCAGATTATATAAATAGACTTCATTTTATTTATCCGGAAAATAGTTAATGTTTCCCTAAAATATATAATACAAATAAATTATTATATTATTCACCTATGGCTTTAAAAAAAATAAAAAAAATAATATCTAACAAATATTCTTATATAATTCCTGTAATATTAATACAAATTTAAAATATACAAATATAAATATATATGTATATATATTTATATATAATAATATAATTTATAAATTAAAGGGAAATATCTAAAAATAAGATATTTTAATTTCTATACAATTAAATGTCCCTGTATATGCTGGAGATTTAGATACAAGCTAAAAACTAAACTCTAAAACCCATTCTAGGCATTTTTTCAAAGAAATAGGACTACCGATACCTGCTGGTATAGAAAATATAGGCTCAGAAGATGAATTATTTACTAAATTAACTTATTTAATAATTAAATATCCTTAGATAAATACCTGGATTTTTAAAACAGATTATGAGTAAAAAGGGAGAGGCACTGCATATATAGAATTAGAGCATCTTAGGGTAATAAAAGATTTTAAAAAATAAAAAATTTCGGAAGAAAATGTACTTAAATTAAGGGAAATTATCTCTACGCTTTTGCCTTAAAAAATTGTTATTTGCTTTCCTTCTCTTTTTGCTAATTATTAAGAGTTTTTGGAATATTTTGTCTATAATAAAGGATTAATAGAAGCTTTTCCTTAAAATAATAATGAAAATGAGGTTAAAGGATTATCTGTTTCCTTTAAAATAGACCCTGATGGGGTTATTAAGCCTCTATGTGCATTCGAGAAAATCTCTTTAGTTCCTTTTGTGAATTTCGGAGCTATTTTTCCATAGAATGTGCTACCATTGTTAAATTTAAAGGCTTTATGTGAAAAAATAGGAGTAGAGTTAAAAAAAAGAGGCGTTTTCGGATATATTAACGCAGATTTAGTAGCTTTTTAAGACCCTGAGAATTCCCTTGGACATAAATTGTTTTATTTAAATGGATTAGATTGCTTTTTAAATGACTTTATGTCTGCTTTTTTTATGTTTTAAATGGTTTCGGGAAGTAAAATGGATTAAGTGAGTGGAAAATACTATTTAAGTGATTAAAATGAATAAGAAAGTAATTATTTAGATGAAGAAGAAGGTGATTTTTTGAATATTATAAAAGATTTTGACGAAAGAAGTTTTTTTTTTGTCCCATATATATGTCATGAAGGATTCTTTTAGAGCAATTTTAAAGAGTTTTTCATTGTTTGTAGAAAATTCAATATTTCGTACGATATTGAAAAGAAATAAGGGACTCTATTTTTACTTTTAGATTAATTAAAAGAAGGAGTTTTGGGAGTACTGGGTATTGGGGAAAAAATACAGGAATGTATGTAGTTTATATACGATGTTTTTATAAAAATATAATAGATGTTTGAAAATGAGGAATTCTAAAGGAAAAAAAAAAACTAGAAAGAATCTATTGTTAGAAATGATGAGGTTTCGTTTTAGATTTTACTTAAAAAAATAAAAAGTCTTTATTAAGAATATAGAGGTAGGTGAATTCGATTATATTTTATTAAGGAATGAATATATGATTTTTTTAATAATAAATTAAATATTAATTTTTTAATATATCTTTTTTATAATATTATTAGTTTTTTATTATATACTTTTATTTGATAAATATTTATTTTTATTTAGTAATAAACAAAACATATGGAAAATTAATATAACTAAGCATATTAAATTCTTTAGGAGTTTTTTGAAAAATATCCTAATATGTCTTAAAACGCTAAATATGCATCTATTGCATCTGTAGTATATAATCATATTCCAGATTTACTATTTGTAGGTTTCTATATTGTTGAAAATGGCGAAGAAATACACATAGGGCCTTATTAATCAAAAATATTAGCAAGTGCAATTATAAAAAAAGGTAAAGGTGTATGCGGTACAGCTTGGGAAGAGAAAAAAGCTTAAATATGGAATAATATTAAAGAATGTAAAAATTATATAGCGTGTGATTCTGAAACTAAAAGTGAAATAGTAATACCAGTTTTAGATAATAATAAAAAAAATGTTGTAGCAGTTTTTGATATAGATTCTGTTACTTAAAACAGATTCTTGGATCAAGATGTAATAAGTATAGAAAAAATTGTTTCATTGTTGTATAAATGAATAATAAAAAATATATATTTATATATAAATATATATATATATATATATATATATATATCTTTTTCTTTTTTATATATCTATTTTTTTATATATTTTTTTTTCATAGTTTTTCCCATTTTATATTATTTTTATTTTATATATATTCTCGCATTTCATCTGTTATTCTTTCTCTTTTTATTTCTACTTTTTCTCTTCCATATATAGATAAAGTACATATATCATCTTCTTCGTTATATTATTATTATTAATATTCTTAATATGGACGTTTTTTAGAAAATATAAATAAAAAATATTCTCCAATATCATAATTAAATGGATTATTGAAATATTTTACTGAAGAAAGATCTCTTTTCGATCCTTTTACTGCCTATATATATTCAAAAGATGTTGAGTTGTCAGATATTTTTCTTAACAAAAGTAAATACGTTTTCGAGTAAAATTTGATATTTTTTAATTAGAAGCTTATACTTTGAGTTCTAATAGAAGTTTATGAAGATGTAAAAAAATAAAAGGAAGGATTCTTGATTTTCAAAAGAAATACATTTTTTATTTTTTTAAAATATTTTTAAGAACTTACTTTATATTCCTTATTGAAAAATCCTATATAAATTTCTTTAAAAAAAGTATAAAATTCTTCCATAGAAATCTCTGTTTTTTTACTTTCATTTATTTTTCTGATTTATACCCCACCTTTTTTTCCTTTTTTTATAACATTATAACTTTATTTTCCAAGGTCATCCATATTACATATCCCAATAAAAATTAAATGCTCTTGTTTGATCATTTTTTTCCAAAAGATCTCATTTATTTTATCAATTTAATAACACATACATACTCCTCCAGTTAAATCTCGAAATAATTCCTTTACTAAACCTGCATCTATATTGGCATATGACCCATGAAGGATTGCCCAAACTTTTTCAAGCAATAAAAGCCATATAGATTGATCATTTGTGGATGAAAAACAGGGTATTTTTTCTTTTTCTTTTATTGGAAAAGTATCTGAGATACATATTTTTTCCTCTTGACCTTTCCAGTATAATTTTATGGTGTAATTTCCAATTGTACTTAGTGTTTATTCCTTAAATAACCTTCTTATAAAATCATCTCCCTGATCTAAAAGAGCACCTATTACAGAAAGAAAGTATTTATTTTCTAAATCACCTTATAGTATAGATTCAGGGGTTATTATGTTAGGAAAAAGTACGAAATTTTCTCCTTTAAATTAATTTGGTCTCATCCATTTAAATTTCTAGAGATTTTTTGTTAGTTTTTGAATTTTTTTTTTTTTTTTTATTACATGTGGATAATTTCCTCCTATTTATATTTCGTTTGTTATTTATTAAATTGAATTTATTATTGGTTTAGATTAAATTATTACTCTTTTTTATTTTTTATCCTCTTGTTAACGTGTCGTTTAAAAAATGCTTTATTTTTCTAAATTTAAACTTAAAGAAAAACTATTTTCTAGTTTATTTAATTAATTATTTTCTTTTTTTTCTTATTTTTTCTACTTTTAATCTTATTTATTATTCAATTAGTTATTACTAAAATGAAATCTTTATATACTACTCGCTATTGATTCTTCGATTGAATCTATTTAACTATCACTGTCAATAATATTTTTACTATTGTTAATATTTTTAAAGAATTATGCATTTTCATTTTCTACTTGTTGTTTAAATAATTGCTTATTATTTGTTTCTGGAGAGGAAAATTTTTATGATATTTGGATATTTGAATTACTTTCATATTTTTGGATTATTTATTATACAATAGGGGATATTTAAGACTTTATTTCTTATTTATTTTAAGTTGGTATAAATAAATAATCGTTTTATAATGAATATAGAAATTTTGTTTAATTTTCTAATTTGAAATCTGTTTATTAAATATTAGTTAATGGATTGTAATCTGGAACACCTTAAAATGAAAGCGCTTTTTATGAAATATTTGCATTTAAAGGATTATAATTAATATTTTAAGGAACGTTATAATAATATTATTACATAAGTCTTTTCTAATTATAAATTATATTTTTTAAGAGATACTATGTAAAAAAATTAATTTAATTAAAAACATTTTAATATAATATTCATATTATTTTTTTCTTTTATAAATATTTATTATTTATATATATGCAATTTTTTATTGTTTAAATACATTTAAATAATTAATAAAATTATTATTAAAATTTAAATATATATGATAAATATTTTATATATATAATAAACCAAATAAATCTATTAACTATTTTAATTTTTTTTCTTAATAGAATAAAAATAAAATATTTTAAACTTCTTTTATAATTTTTTCATAAACTTCCCAAAATATCATTAGCGGCTTTTTCCCCTGCCCTAACTGCTCCTTCCATATATCCGTTCCATATAATCGAGCACTCTGTAGAAGCCCAAAAGATCCCTTTATATTACACGTTCCATACATCTCCGAATTACTTCCAATAATCAACTCCTGCAACTCCAACTGGGCAACCATTTATTCCTTCTTTTCCTATAAAATTATCATCTGAATAAAATAAAAATTCCTCTTATATTGTATTTATGTCAAAATATTCCATACAATCTTTTAAAATTATATTTTCTCGTTCTTTTAAACTTTTTTAAAGGAACTTTTCGTTAGTATTTTCCCTTCCTTATTAATAAAAGGCGAGGAGAATTCCATATTAATCATTAGATAAATCATAGTAGAGACAAGGTTATTTTATGATATTGAAAATAAGTCCGGAAAAGCCTTTTTTTCTCCAAAAAGGACTCTTGAAGACTAAGTAGCATTTTATTAGTTCCCCGATCTTAACAGTTTGTATTTGTTCTCGTTTTTTATCCAAAATATTGGTAAATTGAACTTTTCCATTTAAACTTTAAGGTGGTATACATACAATAACTTACTAGCAAATCAAAATTTATTCACTATTTTATAAATATATTAATATTTCGTTTTCTTTAAAATTGTCTACTTTACTAACTAGACTATTTAGTCTAATAAAATCCTTATAGTTTTAATAAATTTTCTTTACAAGAGACTCTGAACCGCCTTTTATACGATCTTATTAAGCTCCTCCTCTCGTATTTATCAGCGTGTCGATATTTCCAGCACTTTTGATGTAAAAAAGGAGATAAAGGACAGAAATTTCAGACATATTTACCCCAAAAATAGTATCAATAGCTGTCTAGAAAACATAATAAGGTACAGTGTTTTTCCCCAAGTTATCCTAGATGTATTTTTCTAAACAAATTGCATCAAATTTCCTTATAAAAGGGGAACTTTTATATGGATTTTCTAAATTTATTTTAGATGCGAAATAATCCAGTTTTAATTAAACAAAACCAAATTTTAATAAATCGAAAAAAGAAATTGGAGGCATAACCCCTTAGTAGTTTTTTTAGAGGTTTTTTGTAGATTAAAAATACATAAAAAATTTATAGAAAATAAACGATGTTATTAATATTATATAAAAAGTTTAAATTGGAATATTACTAGTAAAACTTAATATATAATCGAAAGTGTTATAAATAAAATAGCATATACTCACCTGTGTTCTCCTTTCCAATGTATTTTAGTATGTTTTTACCTGCTGTATATTATTCTATAGTCTCTATTTAGTATTCTTTTAATAATTCAAGTATACGGTTTTACTATGGACATACCCAAGATGCACCTTTATCGAGATATAAATTATTTTTTGTATATGTGTGAACTCTACCACCTACTTTTTCGTTAGATTCTAATAATAAAATATCTTTTTAGCCTTTATCAACTAATCTTTTAAGAGCGGCAAGACCAGAGAGTCCTCCACCGATTATTATTACAGAATATTTTTAGGTCTTTTAATCTTACATTTTGTTTTTTTTGAATTAATTTTTGTTAGGTTATATATATGTATTAAAAAAATGAATTATATAATATTATAAATAAAGAATTTATGGTTTTATATAAAAAAAAAAATATAAATATTAATAATTTATCATAATCAATTTATATCATTTCTATATTAAATTATAATATCTTTTAATAAATAATTCACTTTAGATTGAATATTAAATATTATAGACTGATTCATAATTATTATTAACTCCTTTTTTATTTGATAAATCGTCTAAATTAGAAAGATTCAGAAATTAATAAATAACCAAAATATTATTACTTTATTTATTTAATTTTCTGACTTAAACCTACACCTAAACACAAATTTGATTCCCGCTTAAAGTCTAAAAATTCAAATGAGTTATTTAATTATAAAATCTGATTAAATTTTCAATAGAATAATTGGAATTTTTAATAGAAAAGTTATCATTTTCATTAAAATCTTGTATTTTTGATTATATAAAATTCAATAAAAGCTAAAAATTAAATTAATAATTTATTATTTCTATTAATCCTTATCTTAAAAATATTTGGTCTATATAAGACATTTTTAAACCTAAAATCGTTAATAATTAATTTGGATATCCAATAAATCTCAAAAAGTGGTTATTATCTTTCCATTCGAAAATCTAGTATGCGAATATTTCATTTTTGTTTAAAATTAAATCATTTATAATTTTTTTACTTTCTTCTAAAGAAATTTAAAATTTGTATTCTTCTTTAGATTAGTTTGAGTAATATTATCTTAATTATTGTCTTTTTTCGGTTTCTTCACTTAATTCTTGATTTTATATTAAATTTAAGCTATTTTATTAATTAGTATTATTAATAAATTTATTAAAACTATTTAATTCTTCATCTTCTCCTTCATAAAAATTAAAAAAAAAAAAATTATCGCTTCTTATACAGTCAAATATGTCACTATTTTCTTCAGATAAATTTTCTTCTTTTATATTATTTATTAGCTTATAATATTGTTTTAGTAAAAAATATAATTCTTGGGCATTTTTATTATTCTAAATTCCCTTTATTTTTTATAATTCTTATTTAAATTCTTTTTTTCCGTTTTCTATTATTTATATTTCACATTCAACCATTTATAATTGTTTATTTTTTATTATTTTTGTAGGTAAATACCAACTTTATTAACCAGAAAATACTTATTTATTAATTTCTTGAGTTTTAATAAATAATTATTCAATAGAAAAACCTATAAAACCTTATAAAAGGGAAAAAGATTCGTTTATATCTTTCTTATATTAAGTTGGATGGTATTAATATTATGCTCTTTTTAGTCTTATTTTATTTTTTATTTTTTTTATTTATTTTATTTTCAAAGTAAATTCTTCACTGCTTTCAGACATATTTTTATTGTTTTTAAACAAAAATAGATATATGTATAATTTATTATAATAATATATATATATATATATTTAAAAAAATAAATGCTTTTTATTAAATTGTTTATTTTTTATTTATGTAATCCACTTTTGTAGTTTATTTTATTAGGTTTACATCGTAAAAATATATAAATTATAAAAAATAGTACAAAAAAAAAAAAAAAAAAGTGGATAAAATAATATCGAATATTGGATAAAATTATTAACTTTAAATAAAAAATTTTATGTTAAATTTAAAAAAATAATAATAATAGATAATATAAAAATATTAATTTAAAAGAAAAAAATTTAATTTATTACTTAAAAATAAATCAAACTTAAATATTAATGTCTTCAGTTTTTAAATAATCTGCTATATCATAAATATATACATCATATTCATTTTTTTCTATAAATTCTTTAAATCCAATTCCTTTTTTTTTATATTTAATTTAAACAAAAAAATCTTGTTTTATTTCTTTTTAAAAATATACTTAATTTTAAATCTTCATGACCTCCTCCTAAAAAAAAAAATTCAGGATTTAATTTTTCTAATTTATTTGAAATAATAATCGGAATCTTTTAATTAAACTAAAATGGTGTTACTCCATTAAATTTATACCCTGTTAAATTAACTTATTGCTTTTTTTTTTTTTTTTAATAATAATTAATATATATTTCTTTTTTTTACTTCATTTGATACTAATCTTAAATGAAATCCTGTTTTTCCTAATTAATTTTAATGATTATGCTTATTTTATATATCTCTTGTTGCTTTTAAAAGCTTTTCTGAATTCATTTTTGTTACATATTGAAATACAAGACAATAATATCTTGAATAATATCTATTTTCATATTATTCTTTAAATGAGGTATTTTCCATTATCATGGATTTACATAAATATTCTTCTGATGGGGCTTTTAATAATTCTTTACGTTATGTTAAATTTAAATTATAATATCCTTTTTTTACTTTTATTATTTATATGCTTTTTTTACATTTTTTTTTTTAGTTTAAGTTTTTTTTTTTTTTTTTTTAGTAGATACCTTTGCCAATTGTTTTATGCAAAATAAGTTCTTAGTTTTAATGAAATTTTAGTCATTTCCCATTAATATTAAAAATAATCTTATAATTATTACTAATCCATTTTTTTTGTTAGTTTTATTAAATAAAAATAGTGTTTTTAATTAAAATCTTTTAAAAAAAGAAATAAATATAAATATTTTTTTTTTTTATTATTATTAAACAAAAAATCATTTTTATTATAAATAAATATAAAATCATTTTTATTATAAATTATTTAAAAATGCCTGAGCCTATTACATCGAATTATATTTGCTTAAAAGATCGCTTTTGTTTTCAACTTTTTCAATTAAAAAATTTATAAGTTTTCTTTTGAAGTTTCTTTCTTTTTTAAATTCATCGAATTTCATTTCTTTTATAATTTAATCTTTATTTTAAATACTTTTTAAATCATCTAAATCATTATTTTTATAATTTTAAAATTCTTTTTAAGCTTTTTTGTCCATATCATTCATTTTTTAATGGAATTAATTTGATTTTTTTTTCTCATTTTAAATAAATTACATTAATTATTAAAATTATTCACTTATATTTTAATATTTTTTATTTTTTAAAACTCCTTTATGTATTTATTACTATTCTTATTATAAATTTTATTTAGACGGTTAAGTTTGTTTAGGTTGATAAAAAATAGAAACCTATTTAGATTAGTTGCTTTTGTTGATTTGATTTTATTAACTATGTTTCCTTTAAGTAAAGAAGAATTTCATAAAATTATCATCTTTACTTTAAACATTCATTATAGATTTATTACTTTTATATGTTAAAGACGAAAAAGGCCTCGTGGTGTGATTCGTGAAGTCGTAAGAAGCATGTTTGGTATTATTTGGAATTGTATGTATAGAATTTGTATTAAAAAAATGCTTATTTTTTTAATACATTAATTTATAGGTTTTTATAGAAGGAGAAATATTATTAAAAGATGAACCTTTGGATTTATTTTAAAGAACATCTGAAGAATATATAGTTTTGGGTTTTTAAATATTTAATTTTCTAATAAATTAAACAGCATTTTTTTCTTTTTATTTTTCTATGTGTATATAAAAATATTTTATATTATATTTATTTTATTTAACGATTATCTATTAAGGCAATTTTTTCTTATAAATTCATTTATTAAATCATTTTTTCTTATATTTCGTTTTTCCTTTTGATATCTATCATTTTAAATTTATTTTTAGCTGCTTCTCCGTCTATATTATCTAATTTGGTTTCCTCGTATATTTTTATAATTTTTTGTTTTTATTTTTTATCTTCTAATAATTCGTTTATTTAATCCAATGCTAATCTTCTTTATTTAAATTATTCTTTTTCAATATCTACAATGGATTTACTTTTATATTATATTTAATCTATATTTATATTAATAATAATTTAATGTACAAAATTTTATTTATTTTATTGTAAATATATATATATATATATATATATATATATATATACATATATATATTTAATATACCATCTTCTATTTTTAATATTTATCCAATAGTTAATTCTTTTTTCATATTTTTTGACTTTTTTGTTATTTTATTCATTAAATAATCAATTTATTCTTTACTTTAATGATCTAATTTTTAACTTTTTTATATTTTTTATTAGATCTGATTAAAATCAATTTATCTTCTCTTTATATTATTTATTTTTTCTTTTAATAATTCTCTTCTGTATTTTTTATACAAATTAATTAGTTATTCTTCTGAAATACATTAATTCATTATGAAAAATAATTTCTTTTCAATATCAGTTCTTTTCTTCTTTTAATTTATTTTTAAGTTAGTATTATTTTTTTATTCATTATTCATATTACTTTCTATTATAAAATCATCAATATAGTTATTTTCCATTTTTTCTTAAAATTCTTTACTTAAACACTTCTATTCCTTTTTTAAGTCAATTATCGGTTATTATTATTACGTTTCTTCGTTTTTAACTATTAATTTGATTCCTTTTTATAAGTCCTTTTTATCACAAGATAGGCCTAATCTTTATCTTGTATATGATGCTTTCTTATTTATATATGTGAGTATGTTTTTACGACGAAAATCTTCATAGTTTGCTGCATCTGACCCCCTTACGCTGTTTTTTTGTATTGTTTTTTATACCAAAAAACCTGTATAACCTGAATTAGACATATAGTTTTATTTCTTTTTAATTTATATTTGTATAGGTATTTAAATATATATATATATATTTAATTTATTATTTTACATTGTTTTTTTTTATTATAAAATCATTAATTTTTAAATATTTCCAATATTACTTTTGTAATGATTTTATATATAATTATATATTAAAATGAATTTAAACTTATTTTTTTTTTTTGATATTTATACGATTTTTTTATTTAAATATATATAAATAATTAATTTTATTTTATTTTTATTTTTATTTTTTTCCTAATAAAATCTAAATTTTAATTTATATTTTAAATAAAAATTGATTAAAAATATTAATTTATATAAAAAATATTAAATTTATATTTAATTTCAACAAAATATCATAAATATAAAAATAATAATATAATATATATAAAATATCTATAATTAAAATAAATTATTCTTATAAATTATTATTAAATGAAAATAAATATAATTTATAATTATTATCAATAGTACTAAATAGTCTACATCATTAAATAATATTTATATAAATATATACCATATTAATAAATAATTATTAAAATAATAATGAAATAAAAAAAATGTAATTTAATTATAAATATAAATATTTCCCAAAATAACATACTTGGATATATTTTTTATCATATGATTCTTTTTGGTCTTAAATTTAATCTAAAGTTGAATCTGCTGCTTTGCTAACTCCAGAAATACACCCTATAGGCACGTATATATGTCCCGCAAACACTAAAAAAGATATTATTGAAAAATTAAATGATACCCAGGAATATAAAATTCCAGAAATTTTAACATCAGAGACTATAGATTCTTTAGTTGTTGAATTTTTGGAAATTTATGAGAGAAGAAAACTTGGATAAGAAAATAAAATAACTGATTTAAATAATTTAATTTTAATTTAAGCAAATTAATTCATAAAATCAAGAGGAGGTCTCTACTCGTTTACAAAAGAAGAGTATTTGAAAATCCTAAATCATAATTTGTTAATTATAACCTCTTCTTTTAACCAAGATACCCTTCCTTCTACTGAAAATATATCCATAGAACTCTTATATGGATACCTAATAGCCCATTATGGGACTAAAGTATTCGAAAAATGCCCTTAATTGGCTGTTTTAATGGTTTGTATTCCCTTTGTAAACGGTAATAGGATTATAAAGTCTTTAGATTTATCTAGTTAGAGTCCTAAAGTAAAATAATTGGCTAAATTTAAAAGTTTATGTAAGTTAAGATCATTACCTGTTCCGGAAATTATCTTTTAGAAAAACTACTATGATCTATTTGAGTTAGAGAAAGACTTATTAATTATATATTAAGAAGTTAAATATGATAAAAAATTTTCGAAAAAATCTAGAAAAAAATTATTTAAGACTTTATTAAATATAAAAAAAATCTATAATAAATAAGAAAAATATGAGATAAGAAAATGTATTTTGGAAGAGCATTTAAACATAAATAATGACTATAGACTATAAAAAGAATGGAATATTTTATTTTTTGAAGGCTTTAGGTAAGCCTTAAACCGATTTCCGACCAATATTATTGTTTAAAACAATGGGACATTGAGAAATGTGCAAAAGCATCTAGTTTTTAAGTTTTTATTGGAGGAAAATGAAGAATTATTGTCAACTTATATTAATAATAATACAGAAACTGTTATTTAATTAAAAGAGTTGGCTAAAATAGTCTAAAAATCAAGAAAATATGGTTATTTTATATCAGATTGGTAGAATAAATTAGCCAGAAAATGGAATGATTTAAGAAACAAAGTCTTAAAAGATATTTTTTAAAAGAAATTATTATAAACAAAAGGTTAATAAAATTGGCATTTTCCACCGCCTATTTAATTTGATTTGGCTCTAGATTTAAACCCTGAATCACACCCTTTTTCATTCACATATGGAAGAAGATAAGGTTATTGTGTGGATTATAATTAATCTTTTTAATGGTTTTTATTATATTGTAATTAAGAAGAAAAAGAATATTTCTATTCAGTTTTGGAAAATACGGAACCTTTTTTTACTTTTTTGGAAGAAATCCCTTTAGAGTTGAGAATATTTTAGCCTGAAAATTAAGATGAGAAATCTTTTTTGGATAAATTAAATTTTTGGTTGATTTATAATTAAAATAATTAACAAATTATTATAGTTTAGAAAATCAAAGAATTTATAAGGAAAAAAATTTAAGATTTACCAGTACATATAAAAAAAATATTAAAGAAGAAAATATTTAAATGGTTTCCGTTATTTCGCTTTTTAATTATATTTTTTATGATGTACACCCAGAGGATGTCTATTTGGGTGGGGGTGTGGTTGATTTAAAGGACTATTTTGGAAAATATTAAAAGATAATTAATTAATAACTAGGTGATGATAATAATTATAATATCAATTAATTGAATTAAGAAGGGAATATTTAAGATTATTGGGGACCTCCTTATTATGGAGGGAAAATATGATTTTTTAATTTTAATAATAGAATTTTTTTTTTTAAAGCTTTTATTTTATATATTTTTTATTATAAAAAAATTATTTTTTCGTTGTTTTAAAATTAAATTTCTTTAAAAGCTAAAAAAAAAGTTCTTATAATTTCTATTTATTTTGCTTTAAGGGAAAATAAAACATAAATAAATTATTCAAATTTGAAAATTTTCTAATCTATATATATATATTTATAATTAATATATTTTCAAAATATTATATTTTTTTATATTTATATATATAAAATAATTAATTTAATTATATATATTATAAATTATCTATTAATACTATTACTTGTAAGTTTCTAAATAAAATATTATTTTTATTTATTTTTTTAATAAATATAATTTTTTTTAATAGTATCAAAAATATACTTTAGATTTAGGTTAAATTTTAGTCTATTTTTTTAAAAAGGAGTTATGTCTACTAAAGAAAAAATAACTTATTCAGTAATTTTATTATTTTATAAACGAACATGTAAAATATTATTAGTTATTTAATCTTATAATGAATATATATTTTTTAGATATAAAAGATAAATATTTTTATATATAAATTAAATTAATACTTTAATTATAAAGAAATTATTTTTAATATTAAGTTTTTTAAAATTATTTAAAATAAAGAAAGATAAATTTACTTACTTATACTGTACAGGGTAGGGTACAGGAGAGAATTTAATTATAATATTTTTAAAATAAATTTCAAAAAAAATTAAATATTAATTATAAAAAAAATTCTTCTTTTTTTTATTTATTATTTCTTTATTCAATAAAATAAAGATAAACCTAAATTGTATTATTCTAATATTGTTAATTTTGTTATATTTAAAATAGAATAAGATATTTCTTAAGTTAATATATTTAATATAAACTTTTTTATATATAAAGCTAAATAATTTTAATATATAATAATATTTAATTAAAATATAAGTTTAAATATTAGAATATAATAATAAATGTATACATTATTAAAAATTTATTAAATAAAGTCATAAATCTTTATTAATTATTAAAAAAATATTAAAAATTATATTATGTTTATTATATATTTTTATAATAAATATATTTTAAAATAATTATTAGTCAATTTTTAATTTTTAATGTTTTTTGTGTTAATAAAATTATTATAAAGGTAAGTAAAATTAATAATAAATAAAAATATGTTATAATATAAAAATATTTATATTTATATTATATATTAATTAAATTTTGTTTATTATATAATATTGTAATTTTTCTTTGTAATAATTAATATATTCAATATTATTCAATAAAATAATATATATTATAAGTTATATATTAATAATATATAATATGTAAATTAAAAGATTTTTTATATATTTATTTTAATATTAATTAAAATAATTATTTTTAAAAATAATTTTTTTTAAGATTATAATATATATATTTTAAAAAGTAATTATTCTTTTTTTTTTTTTTTTAAATTAATACATATAAAATTTTAAAAAAATTATTTAAAAAAAAAAACAAAAAAAGATTTATAGATTATTTTCAAAATAGATGGATACAACAAACGCCCCATAAATTATTGAACATTAAACATAATCTTTAACTTTTACACCTCATGATGTAAAGTAATAAAGCCAAAAAAACATATATAAATAAATATATGAAAGTAACTTAAAAAAAAATTAATTTTAATAATAATAATAAAAAAATAGATGGATTCCCTCATCTGCTAAATTTGTATTAAGTGGATAACTTCCAAAAGCAACAGGCACAATTTAAGTACATAAATTATCTAAAAACGAGACCAAATGCATTAGAGATGTAAAAAATACATAATAAAATTAAACATATATTAAATAATAAATAAATAAAATAGATACAACATCCCAAAGGAATAAAATGTAGTACATTTGGAGCATGCTTACCAGGAAAACAAGATTTAGCATTTGGTGATTTTAGCGGAGAATTAAACATCGTAGACTTAGAAACAGGAAAAATTTACTACAGTGTAAAAGCCCATTAAAGTTTAGTTAATTCAATTGACGGAATAGGAGGTTAAGATATTGGATATGGTGCCCCAGAAATAGCCACAGCAGGAAGAGATGGTAAATAATAAAATAAAAATAAAATAAAAAAAAATTATAAGGTTGTATAAGAGTTTGGGATCCAAGATAACGTACTCATGTATTATCTTTAGAGCCTATAGACAAGGAATCTCCTCCTGATGCTTGGTGTGTTTCATTTGGAAATAGTTATAATAATGATGAGAGGGTTTTAGCTGCTGGATATGATAATGGAGATTTGAAATTTTTCGATTTAAAAACCAATTAACTTTTATGGGATAGTAATTTGAAAAATGGTGTTGTAGGAGTAGAATTTGACCGAAAAGATATTATCATGAATAAAGTTGTGGCTACTACCCTTGAAGGTAAATTCCATGTACATGATATGAGAACTCTACATCCAGAAAGTGGGTATGCTTAATTATAAGATAAAGCTTTTGCAGCCACTATTTGGGGGGCTAGGCATTTACCTTAAAATAGAGATATTTTTGCACTAATGGGAGGAAATGGAGCTATTAATTTATATAAATATAATTATCCAAATGAAAGATAAGTTAAAGATTCAGAAGGAAGATTTAGAGGAATTATGGGTTCAGTGGATATTCTTAATTCGAGAGATATTTGTTAATAACCGGTTAATGGATTTGATTGGAATAAAGAAAAAGCTGGTCTTGCTGTACTTTGTGGTTTAGATTAAACTTGTAAAGTTATTATTTGTACAAAACTAAATCTTTATTGAATAGATATTTTTTTTTGTGTTTGTAAGTTTATTTTTTTATCTTTTAATTAATAATTAATTAAATTATAATTTTTATTGTTTTTTGTTTTTTTTTAATAATTTTTGATTAAATTATTATTTTTAGAAATATATATTTATTTATTTAAGAAAATAAAAAAAATTAATAAAAAGATATTAAAATACTTTATTTTTTTAAAAAAATATCTAAAATAAATATTAATAATAATATAAACTAATATTTATTAAAGCAAAATATATGGAAATAGAAAACCAAAAAGAAATAACTAACGAAGAACTTTAAATTTACGACAGACAACGTTTTATAGGAGTAGAAGTTTAAAGAAGGTTAAAATAAATCATTATGTTAATTAACTTTATTTATTTTTTTTAAAAAAAGACTATTAAATGCAAGAATATTTATTACTCCAATAAATGGAATAAATACTGAATTGGCGAAAAATTTAATTTTATGTGGAACAAATATATGTATTAGTGATAATTAAATAATAAATTAAGATGATGTTGAAACCAATTTTTTAATAAGTCCGAATGATATAGGAAAGAATGTAAAAAAAAATTAAATAAAATAAATTATTTTATATCAATAAAAAGAGAGGTTAAGTCATAAAATAAAAATTAAACGATATGAATCCTATGGTTTAAATTGATTTATACGATACTTTTAATGTTAGAAATTTTTATTAATAACATATTGATTAATAAAATAACTAATAATAATGTAAAAATTAAGCAGATCCTTTTTCTGCTCTTTTTTTTGATTAATTTAATATTATTATTTCCTCAACTTCTTCTTTTAAAGAAATGGTATTATTATTTATTATTGATAATAATGGAATATATTTTAATTTATAGGGATTGTATGATTAAATATCTAAAAAATTAAATAAACCTTATTATAATTTATTATGTTGTGGACTTTATGGATTTTTTTATGTTTCTTTAGGATCAAATTATGAATGTATTGTGTAAAAAAATAGATATATAATTATATATAAAATAAAAATTAGATAAAAACCTTCAGTATAAAAAATGTAATTTATTAATGGAAAATTAGTTAAAGAAGATGAATAATATTAATATTTTCATAAAATATAAATAAAATAGGAAACTATTTTTGAATCATTAAATACTTCTTTAAAAAATCCTAAACCAGTTTTAAATGCAATTAAAAGTAGAAAATTATATAATAATTAAAATTTTTTATATGAAAAAATAACAAAATTAAGTGATGTATTAATCTTAAATAAAAAATTTAATATATGATGCATATAATGAATCATATGAAAATTAAAAAGTTTTAGAATAAATAATTGAAACATAAAAGGAAATAATAAAAAATTAAAATGAAAGAAATTTTTTTGAAAAGTTTGCAAAATTTTATTCTATAGAACATTGCCCTGTTTATTCTGTTATTGGAAGTGTTTGTAGCTAAGAAATTATAAAAGTTATTTCAAGTAATAAAGATATAAATATATATATATAAGTAAAGATATAAAAATATAAAAATAAAAATTTAAAAATAAATATAAAAATAAATAAATATATATCTATATCCATATAATAATATAAATATAATTATATTTATTTTTAAATAAATATAATTTTATATATTATTATTATTTTTTTTTTATATATAATATATATTTTTAAAATTTTTTTTTTTTTATTTTTAATTATATATTGTTTTTAATTTATATAGAAGATAAAATTCCAGCTATTAATTGGTTTGTTTATGATAGTCAGGTAGGTTATGGAAAAATTGAAAATACTTAATAAAAAAAAGAAGGTATGATAAATTATATCGATTTGCCTGAATTGTCTAAAAGAATTAATAATGAATTATGAATTATATCATTACTATTATATTTTTTTTATTTTTATTTTTTATTTTTTTTATACTGTATTTTTTATATTTTTAATTTTATTTATATTTTTATATATTTTTTATTATTTTTCTTTAATATTTTGATAAATTAATTTTTTAAAAATTAATTGTAAGCTTTTTAAATGACTAATTTTTTTAAAAAAAAAAATCTAAATTTAATTATTATAAAATAAATATAATATAATATAATTATAAAAAATTTTTACAAATATTATTTATATGATTAAATTTTTAATTTTTAAATGTATAAATTATAACTTTTTTTTTATATTAAAAAAATGTAATATGACCATAAAAATATATAAAAAAATCATATTAATATCATAAAAATTTAAATAGCTTTTTATTTAAAATATATATATAAACATTGTTTTTATTATCAATTATAATGTATAAATTTTTATAAATAATTATATAAAAGCTTAACATTTTAAATCCTGATTTATTTATTTAGAAAAAAAAAAAAAAATCTAAATAACATCAAGAAAAAATATATAAAAATTAAAAAAATTTAATTAGCTAATTGATTTAAAAAAGAAAGAATATAAAACATTATTTTCTTAAATATAAATGTAAGAAAATTCTACATTTAATACTGATATATATGAAAAAGCAGTTATATCATTTAAAAATGATAAAAGAATTCTAATAAAATTCGGAAAAAAAAGCCGAATGCGAATAAGAAGATTTTATGTTCTTCAAAATGAGCATTTAATATATTATGAAAAACATAAATCACTAAAGCCTAGAGGAGTAGTGAATTTGTTCGAATGTAATTATAATATAGAAGCATCAAAATTAAAAGATTTTAATAAATGTATAAATATAACAACTAATTCCAAATTAAATTAAATATGGATTTATCCTTTAACAAATGAGGAAATTATTTTTTTGGAAAGGTATGTATATTATGTTAGTGAAGGGAAATTAAATAAAGAAATTGTTATTTAATAATTACTTAATTAGCCTATTTTTGTAAAACAAACTGCGTCACTTTCTTCTGTGATTTAAATTGAGATTAAAAAGAATGAAGAAAATTAAAATTAGAAATTATAAATTTAAAATGATAATTAGTAATTGTAAATTAAAGATGAAATTATATAATAATAAATTAAAAATGTAAATAAATCTTGTTTAAATGAATAATAATAATAATAATATGATATTTAATATTTTTAAAATAAATAAAGTATTATTTAATTAGAAGAATAAAATTAAGAAAATTTATTTAAATTAGAATAGATTTAAAAAGTAGAACAAAAAATAACTTAAAAGAAGTAAAAAATAATATAAAAAATGAAAATAATTAAACTGAAGAAATTATTTAAAATGAAGAGGAAAATAATTTAAAAGAAATTAATTGTATCAAGTAAGTAAATAAAGAAATAAATATATAATAATAAGTAGAATTAAATATTATTATTTATCAAAACTAAGACATAAATCTTATATAATAAAAAGAAACATTATAATTATACACAAAGCAAGAAGAAAATAAAGAATTTAAATATTAATAAGAAAATATAAAAGAAGATTAAGAAAACATATAAGAAGACAGATAAAAAATAATTGAATTATAATAAAATTAACAAATAAACATAAATAAAACTGAAGAATATATAAATGAAATAAACGAAGAATATATAAATAAAAACGAAGAAAATATAAATGAAAATAAAGAAACGAAATTCAATGAAAATGTTTAAACATTATCATTATAATCTATATAATCAAAAAGGTAAAGAAATTTCGAATCTTTAAATTAGTAAACGAAAATATTTAAAATGAAAAATGAGCAATATTTTTAATATTCTCAATCAAATAAAAACTGGGAAAATCTTTCATCCTAAAGTCCTGAAGAATTAAATACGAAAGTTTCTTAAATAAAATAAAATTCTTTTTTTGCTAAATGTTAAAAAATTAAATATGAAGATCCTTAAATATATACAATAATCGAAACATTAAATAAGAATATAAAAGAAGAGAAAATAATAAATAACTATTCTTTTGATAAAAAAACTTGTTTTGAGGAAGAAATTTTTTTAGACGATGAAATTCCAAAAGTAAATGACACAAAAAATACGAAAAACCCTTAAAAAATTCAATAAATTCAAAACAGTTTTTTCTCCGTACCAAATTCTTAATCTCGTTTATTTATTAATCCCGAAAAAATAAATTTTCAATATAATCTAAGGAAGAATTCTTTAATTTAGTTTCCTATTTTAAAGGAAAAGAAAGAATTTTATAATTAAAAAAACATAAAATAAATACTAATACCGAAAATAGAAGATACAATATAAGAAACTGAAATAAAGGAAATAAAATAAAAAGAAATTCTAGAAAAAGGCTATTTTTTCCTTTGGAATTTCTAGTTTGAAAATGCTGAGAAAATGTTCAATATACACAAAGAATCTGATATAAATTTCAAGTATGCGCTTTTAGAAATCGATTTATTAAAAATAATAGTATCTGGGAATAAAGATTTAATAATAAAAACTGAGAAAAATTTCCAAAATTTCATAGATTTATAAATTTAAATAAAAAAAAATAACCCAAAATAAGACTTAAATTTTTCTTTAATTAAAAGTGAATGTTATATCATGAAAGGGCTTTTAAATTCTTTTTTAAATAATAAATTTTAGGCTTTTTGTGCATTTAAAAATGCCTATTCAATTTTTTAAAAAATTTCTTAAAAATTAATAAAAAAATCTATAACTTGATATTTTTTCCAAAAGTAGGTTTTTGTTTGTTTCTTCACTTTTTGATATTGGGCTTTCAATGATCCCTAATGGCTTTTTAAAAATACTTAGTTTATTAGGAATTTAAACCAATAAAAATTAAGGATACTCAAATTTATAAGAATGTATTGAACTAAAATCAATTAGATCTTATTATTCAGCGCTTTTGATTGCTATAGAATTTGTTGAGTTAAACCCCAATTTGGAAAAAGCGGTTAAAATGATTAAAAAAATGATCAAATAATTGCCTTAATGTCCAATATTTTTTTGGCTAGCGTCATTATTGTCGTGGAGATACGCAAAACCGGATGATGCAGTATCTTTGATTAATAAAAGTATATGGAATTGTGGGGAAGAATTAGCTGAAAAGGCTTTTTATTTATAATTTGAAAAAGGTTGGTTCAATATTTCATTGCTTTAATGGAATGCGGCTTTAAAGATATTTTTATAAATAAGTTATTTAAGTATGGATTTAGAAAATTTTAAAGAAGAATATTTTTATAGTTTAAACGAGTAGGTTTCAAAAAAAATATGTACAAAATAATTCAAGAAATTTTTAGATGAATCAAATATAATTAAAAATTAATAAAAATAAAGCAAAATAATACTACCGCATAAATGTTGTATTTGTGTCTTGATCTCTTGCTGTTATTAAGCTTTAGGAGATGAAAATTAAATGAATTTATGGCTTTAAATGGCTAATTATATCTTAAAGGTAAAATATATTATAATAAAAAATATAAATATATAAATTAATATAAATATTAGTATTTATATTTAAATAATTTTAATATAAAAAAAAAAATCTTTATATATTAATAAATAAATATATATATATATATATATATATTTCTATATATATTTATATTTATATATATATTTCTGTATATATTTTTTCTTTAAAGAAATAACAAGAAGGAAAAACCTAATTAGATGAAGATATAACTAAATTGGCAAATAAATATTTATAAAGAAAATAGAAGTAATTTTTAAAATATGAGATTTTATATTTTTTGAAAGAAATTAATAAATTAAAGGATGATTCATTAAATAGTATAATTAAGGATATCAGTAATTTTTATTAAAAAGAAATATTTGAAACTTCAATTGAAGATTTAATATTTCTTTAAATTAAAAAAATTGATTTAGAAAATTTTGTTAGTAATTTATTTCTTAGAATAATTGTTGGATGTTTAAAACAAAATTTCGAAATTGTTTTTAAAATAGCTAATATTTTTGATAAATTATAAATTTTTTTATAGAATGAATGCTTTTATATACTTCATCATTCTTATCATTGGGTTGGAAGATGTTATTTTTAATTAAATTAATATGAAAAGGCTTAAATTTATTTAAAAAAATGCTTAAAATTTAAATATTGTGAGTTTTCATTAGAAAATAAAACTAATAAATTAATATAAGAAATAAAGGAAATATAAAATTGATATTATATTAATTTTTAATTTAAATTATATATAAATGTGTTTATTAATATATAAAAATATAAGTAATATAAAAATAAATGTATATATATTAATAAATTAATATATATAAATATATAATATATATAAATATATATATATATATATATATATATATATATATATTATTATTATCTATCAATCTAATTATTATATAACTTTTTATAATCTTCATATATATTTTATTTATTTATTTTATACAAAATTTATTATATTTATTGGTAATTATTTTTGTTAATATTATTTTAGTTTTATAAAAATTAATAGAAAAATTATTAATTCTATAATTGCATTTTTTTATTAATTTCTTAGTTTTAATTTTATACAAGATTATATTTACAATCGTTATCATCATTATTCTTTTAATAAAAAATTAATTGTTTTTATGTTACTTAATTAAAATTTTTAATGATTTTTATTATTATTATTATTATTATTATTATTATTATTATTATTATTATTATTATTATTATTATTATTATTATTATGTATACCATTTCCATATATTTTAAATATTTCTTTATTATAATTTTCTTATTTTTCTTTTTCATTTAGAAAACATTAATATTTTATATTATTTGTTATCATAAATTATTAATCATTTAAGTATTATTATGATTATTGAGTCGAATTACTTCCTTTTCTTGTTCCTTATTAAGATTTTGAATAATTTATTGTTTTACAAATAAAATATCTTTTTTATTCCGATGATTTTTGTGTTTAAATACATTAATTTTGGAAATTATTTTATATTTTATAAAATGTTTAATTATAAAATGTTGTTATTTTAATATTTTTATTAATTTTTTTTTCTTAAGATATTTTTTTTTCTATATTTTTAAATTAGTACTATTCAAATATTTATTTATTAGATGGTAAAAATGGATTTTTTACTTTTATTAATTCTATTAAAGGTTTAAAATATTTACTTGAAGTTTTATTTGTTTGAAATGATTTTTTATTTAATTTAAATTATTATTTTTATTTATAATCTTATTTACATTTCCTGAAAATATTATATTTGCTCATTTACTATTGCTACTATTATTACTATTCCATATCTTCAATATTTTTTTTATCTTATTCTTTTTGATTTTCAGGATTAAATTAACTTATTTTGTTCTTGTTTTAGTTGCTGCTTTATATTGAATTGTTTGTATAAAATGAGCTTTATTTAGATAATTAATGAGATATTTTATGTGTTAAATTTTCAACTTTTTTTCTTGTAATATTGCCGAATTCGTCGATTGTTAATTTTCCTTAAAGTAATAAATTCAATTCGTTTTGTGTAAGAACATCTAAAAATTCTTAATATTTATCAGATTTAAACTTTTGTTAAATTTATTAATATAAAAGTTATCTTTATTGTATATTTTCGTCAGTTAATTCTTCAATCATATTTTCTTATTTTAATTTGATTGATCTATTTTCATATAAAAGATCATCTTCAGGTTCTATTTTTATTTTAAATATAATATATATGTATATATATATATATATATATATATATATATATATATATATATATATTTTATTTTATTTTATTTTATTTTATTTTATTTTATTTTATTTTTATATTTACAAGAATCAGTGTCATATTCTAATTCTTTTTCTTCTAAAACTTAATTAATTTTTTATTATAATATTTCGTCTCCGAATTATTTTTATAGTTCTTTTTTTGAGAAATAATCTCTCCATAAAAAAGATCGCATACTAGGAAAATAGTTTTAAATTAAAGTTTTTTACGAAAGAATGTAGTCTGTAAAAACATTATCTTTTTTTTTCATTTTTTTTAGTTTTTTTTTATTTGATAACGAATTTCCAATTAAGACTTGCTTTCGCATATTTTTATCTTTTTTTTCACTCTATATTCGTTAAGATTCAATTGAGAAATTTTATATTTTTGTTAAATTTTTTTATTGATTTCATTATTTTCTATTTAACTATTTATTTTGGATATTGGTGAATTATTATCTAAAAAATTTTTATTTTCTTTAAAAATATTAGTTCTTTTTTAGATGGTGATTAAATTTGAGAAGTAGAATTTAATGATAACGAGTTTTTTCTTGAAAGCGATTTTTAAGAAGAAAAAAAAGAAGAATTTTTTTTAATTAAATTTTTTAAGTTTTTTTTTGTTTCTATATTTTATATTTCTTAGTTTAAAATTAAATCTTTTGTTTTATTATTTAATATTTCTTCTTACATAGAAGAATACATTAAACTAAATTTTAATAAATTAAAGCATATGTCTTATCCCATTTATATATATTATTTATCATCAAACTATATTATATTCTATTCGTTTTTATTTTTTTAGTATTAATTATTTTAATTTATAATATTTTCATTTTTATTATTATTTTAAATATCTATGTTTACATTTTCTATTTTTTAAATACAAATATTTTCATTATTATCATTTTTTTATATTATAATATTTTAGTTTTCTGTTTTTTAATTATTAATGTTTTCGTTTTCTTTATATTAAAAAAAAGTACTTTCATTTTCGTCTTCTTCTTCATCTTCTAGTGATTAATCATTATCATTATCATTATTTTCCTTTTTAGTATTATCAGATAATATTTAATTATTATTTTCATCATCAATTTATTTAAAAATTTAATCTTTTAATTCCATAAACTCATCATAATCAATGACTTCATTTTCCAATTAAGAAATAAGTTTATTTTTTTCTAATTTCTTTGCCTCATTTAATTAAAAATACTAATTTTTTTCAAACCCGAAAAACTAACATCGAAATTAAATGAAAATATTGCTTTTAATTTCTTCCAAAAATACACTCTAGCACACTCTTAATTTTTAACCGAAAATTTACATTAAAAATAGTTAAAATAAGGCATTGATTCATGCATTATTTTCATTAATACCCTATTACTTACCCATTAAAAATTCGAGTTTATTTCCTAATTTTCACATCCGAAAGCAAACGCATTTTTGTTACTAGCTGAACTATGTATATCTAGAAAAGCAAAAATTTCTTATTTTTTTATTTATCTAAAATATTCTTTAAGAAAATAAATTTCTGGTTATAAAGTTTCACTTGTATCTTCCCATTGCTTATTTAAGTCAAATCCGCTAATATTTGTCCTTGAATTTCCTACAAAAACGCCATCAGGGTTTATCATGGGGAAAATTTTGAATATAAATAAATCTTTTAATTTATTACTAATCTAATCTTCCATATTTAGTAAAAAATCGATTATTCCTTATATTATTAATGAAGAAGGACTTTCACTGGGATGTTAACGGCCTTAAAAAACTATTATTTTTCTTTTTTCATAGTCTAAACTCTCCTTCTTTTTCTTGGAAGAACTTATTTCAATTCCAAAAATTGATAATCCGAGTCTTGAACCACCTATTATTTCTTTTTTATAGAAAATACTTTCACTCTGTATTGTTAAAGATCGCGTTTTTAGGTTAAATTCTTCAGTTATATTTTACTATTTTCTTAAATATTATTCTTTATTTTCTAAAAAAGAAACTAAATCAGTAAATGTATAAGGCTTATGGTATGAAAATAAAACTCTTTCACCTTATTTTTAAAATTAAAAATCAAAATTTAAACTATAAAAATAATCAGTTTATTATTCGTTTTTCCTATGAAATTAAGACTTTTTATATTAAAGTTTTACATTACTTTTTTCCCAAATTAATTATTGGTTATCTTAATCATTTTAAACAATAGAACCAATATAAATAGGCATTCCAATTTAAAATAGATTCTTATTTTTTCTGGAATTTAAAATTTCGAAATTAACTATAGAATTTTATTCCCCCCAAAATTTTACACCAAAATAAAACCATTGTGTGAATCCTAAATACAATATAAAAGTATATATAAATTTAAATATATATATATATATATATATATATATATATATATATATATATATATATATATATATATATATATACATATATATTTATTTTATACCTAAACTATTAGTATCTGATTTTAATATTATTTTTGCTTTCTTTAAATTTTTATTTATTATTACACTATTCATATTTCCATTTTCAAAATCTGAGTAAAATTCTAATTCCTTACATATTTCATCTCCTGTTATCTAAAAATTTAATTTATAATTTGTTAAAAAAAAATATATTTTTTTACATTTTTTTTATTTTTACACACAAATTTTGTAAATTCCTTGATATTTATTATTTTTTTTAATGAAAAAAGTCTAAAAATCCATATCCTTACTCTCTATTTAACATATATAGAGCAAATTCTCTTTATTTAATTAAATATTTTATTTCAGTAAAGTTTCTATTCATTATATCATTATCTTGTTTTTCTTCATTAACTATATAAGAAAAATCATAATAAATTATTTAATAAGGTTCATATATCCGAACATTACCATAATATACCCATTTTAATAATTTCCCGCATATTTTACATCTAAAAAAATCATCTGGTTTACACTAATGATCTATAAAAATTCCCTTTTTTAAAAAAAAATTATATATCTGTAAATATATAAAAATACTTAATTAAATATTTAATTTAATTCTTTTTCACTCCATTTAGACCAAAATTAAAATTCATTTACTGAATTTAAAGTTTGATCTCGTTATAATTCCTTAAATTTCCATTAAATACCTTTTTCAAGAGCATATTTTCCTTTCTCAACTAAATCTAAAGGAGCACCTAATTAATCCCATAATTCTTAAAGGTCCATTTTATAATGAATATATATATATTTTTCTGTTTATTTTTAAAATTATAAAATAATTATTTAATTATTAATTAATAACGAGAATTTTTTATTTTATTTTCTATTTAAATATTTGAAATTTAATTTAATATAATTTTTTATATTTATATTTTTTATGTATATTTAATAAAAAAAGTCACTTATTTTTTTAATTAAATATTTTTTTTAAAAAAAAATTTTTAATTAAATAACTTCTTTTTTTTTTTAAAAAAAAAAAAATATTTTTATATTTATTATATATAAATAATAATTATATTATTAATTAAAAAAAATTCATTAATTTTATCTTAAATTATCAATTATTAATTTATTTGACATTTTAAAAAATTACATATATTATATAACATTAATAATATATTTTATATTTTAATATTTAAATAATATTTTTTTTTATTAAATATAAAAAATATTATATTTTAATAATTATTATTTTTATTTTTATTTTTATTTTTATTTTTATTTTTATTTTTATTTATATTTTTATTTATTTTAATTTTTATATTTATTTTTATTTTTAATTTTATTTTTATTTTTATTTATATCTTATAAAAAATAATAATAGTAAATTTATAAAAAATAAAAAGACTAAATGAATATTATAATTTGTTATTTTTCAATTTAATTTTATTTACCTCCAGATATTTATATAAAATAAAAATTAAAACAAGAATTATTTAATGTATATTAAAAAAATTTTTTTATCAATAAATTTGAAACAAAATTATTTTTATAGATATAATTAAAATATAAAAATAATATGAAAAAAAAAGATACAAATTGATTATTTTTAAAAGAAAATACAAAATTTTATTAATTTTTCTTTAAAAAAAAAAAAAAAATATTATATAAATAAAGATATTATAAAGTTATAAAATTTTGTAAATAATTTTCTTGATAGAAAAGTTTATTATTTTTAAAAGATTATTAATAATTTGATATGGTAAAATATATAAGTTGTCTAAAAACTAATAATAAATTTGTTTTTATAATATTTTAAAATTAAATTATATTTTTTTCATTTTTTTCATTTTTTTAATATGATAATAAAAAAAAATATTTTTAAAACAAAATAAATTTTTTAGAAGAAATTATAATTTATAAATATTATATTTAATTTATAAAATAATATTAAATATTATATCATATAAAAATATGTATTTAATTAAAAAATTAATATTTAAAATGAAATCAAATAAAAAAAAATAAAAATATATATATATATGTTTTTAATATAATATATGTTTTAAATAAAAAAAAAATATAAAATATATTATTATAATATTATATATATATATGTATATATATATTTATATATATATATATATTTATTTTTATTTTTATGTTTATAATATTTATTTATTTTATAAAAAAATATAATTATTTATTAATTTAAACAAATATTATATTAAATATTGTTAATTATTATCTTTTATAAAAATAAAAAATATTTTAATTTTAATAAATATTCATTTTTAAACAACCTATCCAATTATAGAATGTAGAATTTCAATCCCATGTAGTTTTCTTACAGCCTCTAAATTATTTTCATTTTTACATAATTTAGCCAAAAATATAGCTGCATTTTTCCTCATATTTCCCATTTTATCTCTACAAACTGAAACTAATCTCGGAACTGCATTTCTATATTTAATTAATAAATCTGGTTTAAAATCATTTATAAAAGCTGCTAAATTACAAGCATTACAAAATTTGGTTTCTTCTTAATTTTATAAATTAATTATTTTGAGTAATTCTTAAGCAACACCTTCAAAGTCTATTTTTTATTATTTTTGATTTTTTCAACTATTTAATTATTTGCACATAAATTTGCATATAATCTAATTAAATGTCCTTAAAGTTTTTCATATTAAAATAAATTAAAAGTACAATCAAAAACTTTTTAAACGAAAACTTCCTAAGAATTAGAAAAATTTAATTTGGCCAAAATTTATAAAGACCTCGAGTATAAATCTTCATATAAAGGATTTTTTTTAATATTTAATTTAAAGAATCTTCCCAAAAGTACTACTTCAATCTTCATTTCGCTTAATATTTTCTAAATTTACTCTGTTCCTTAAAAGCTTACATTTACAAACACATTTAAAGCACCTTCTGCGGGTTTTAAATATAGTTAATTTTACAAAACGTCATATTATGAAATTCTTAAAAGTGTATTTTCTAAAACTTATGTATATTTATCAGCCCAGAACTCTTTTCGGACGTATTCTTCTGTTAATAAATTCGCAATTAAATTAAACGTATTTTCTCTTAGATTTTCCAAAGCCATTTTTCTCCTTGCATTTTCAAAACAAATAATCTTATTTAAATCATTTAATATACAATTTAATTTCTCCGCTAGTTTTATTTTTATTTGAGATTTATTATAACATACATTTGATGTGAAAGTTAAAAAATTCGATAAAGTCGAAGTTTCTTTTAAAAATAGAGGAAGAAGTTCCCCCCATAAATCCATGATGGTTTCTTCGGTTTTTTTGTAGAAATCAAACTATTTCGAGATTTTTCGAGTAAAGTTAATGTTATTAATACCTCTAAACAGTCTTCCATTTCACTATATTTATCTTAGTTTTCAGCTTTTATGAGGTTTTAGAGTCTTTCTAATATTAATATATGACAGTTGTTTTTTAAAAATTAATCTTGAAATAATATATTGTCATGAATCAATGTATTTGAGAGTAAATAAATGTTTCTTTTTTGAGATTTTAGAAGGTTTTCGATACGCGCGGTTCCTTTTTTTTCAAAAAATAGAATCTTAGCTTCTTTCGATTATTCTAAGTATTAAGTTAATGTTTAGATTTCATCCTCAGTATTTTATAGGGCTTCTTTTTTTAAAAAATAAGTAATGTATTCTTAGTATGTTAGATTTTGTTTTGTTTCTTATATGTTTTTTTTAATTATTTCTTATTAATTTTTTTTATTTTCTAATTATTATTCTTTATTTTCATTTATTACTTAATTATTCTCTTTATTTTCATTTATTTCTTAATTGTTTTCATATATTTATTAATTATTTTGATTTATTTTTTAATTGTTTTCATTTGCTTCTTAATTGTTTTCATTTGTTTCTTAATTGTTTTCGTTTGTTTCTTAATTGTTTTCATATTTTTTAGCATTAAATACTTCTTTATTATTAATTAATAATTTCTAAGCTTCTTCTTTATGTTAAATAATAAACTAAATTTCTTCTTTTAATTAAATAACTTAGTGATCTTTTGGATATAATTTAATTGCTTCTTCCACATCTTATAAAGATTATAAATAGTCTTTTTTTCTTTTTTTGCTAAAGCTCTTCTGAAAAATGCTTTATATGCAAATTCTCTACTTTTAGTAAATCCTTCTTCAAAACAATCACAATAATCAATTACTCTTGTACAATCATCTATTGCTTTCGAAAATTTCTATAATTTAATATAGGCTAAAGCCCTATTTGTCCATAAACATTTCATATCTTTTACTATTTCTAAAGCTTCAGTATATTTTTCAACGGCTTTTTTATAATCTTATTATTTCATGAATAAATTAGCCTTATTTATATAAAAATATAAATATATATATATATATATATGTATATATGTTTACTTGTTCTTTTAAATTTTCAGCTTTTATACGATCTTCGTTTCTTTTTTTTGCCCTCTAATTTATATCTTATTCCAGAGCTTTGAAATTGGGATCATTTTTAGGCAAAACAGGATCATCGTCTTTTTCTGAATCTGAATCGGAAACATAATAGTCCCATTTAGAATAATTAGTAGTATTTTTTTTCCATAACATGGCTTCTGTTTTTTTCCATAATTCCCATTTTTTTTTTCTTTCTTCTTTTTTGGCTTTATCGGATTTATATTCGCTTACTTTTTTAAGTAAATAATTATATCTTTCTTCTTATGTTTATGTTGGTTTTTAACATCTAAGACCTAAATATAAAAAAATATTAAATAAATAAATAATTATATATATTTATTTATATATATATATACATTCTGGTGTAGGTAATTCATATTCCCAAAAGCATGCCTTGCAAAAATTTAAATAATTTTTTTCATTTCCCTTACCTGAACGACCTTATTTTTTTTTTTCATATTCTTCTAAACGATGTTAACGTTCTTTATCTTCATCATTATTTTTTTTTTATTCACGTTTTTTTTTTAGTTATTCTTCTTTTTAATCAAATTCTTTTATATTCACTTCTTTTTTTGATAGTTCTTTTACTTTTTAAGATACTAATTCTACTTCTGCTAGCCAGGTTTCTAATTGTTCTTGGTCAATATTCATATTATTTTTTTGTTTTTTTTAATAAAAAGTTATTTTAATTTATTTATTTTTAAAATCATATATTTTTTTTAAAAAAAAATATATAAACATTTTAAAAAAATAATCAAATTAAAATATTTAAAATGCTTTTTTCTTTTCTTTTCTTTTAAATATAATTTAAAATCTATACTCAAAAACAATATAATTTATGATACATATTTTATTATATTTTTACAAATTAAAAAATATTATAATATTTTTGTTTAAAAAATAAAATAAAATTAAAAAAAAATATAATTAATTTATATTAACATATATTAACATAAAAATTAAAAACATGAATATAAAATAAGCAACCATAATACCATATTCTGCCATATACATAGATATAACATGGTCTTACATTTTAAAAGCTCTTATTTAAGTAATAAAGCCTGCTGACCGTCAAATGTTATAAGCACTAATATAGAATATAATATTAAAATCAGATTCTCCATATGATGAAAGATTAATTCTTACAGTATCTGTAAGGACTGCTTTTGATTTAGTTTTATAAGTATTAAACCTCCCTTTAGGTTCTGAAGTAATTATGACAAGTATAAATATTCCCGATATGGTCAAGATAATAAGGCATCATGGATTAATACCTGTTCCTGTTGATTTATCGGATAAAACTTTAGGCCCATCTTTGGAGGATTTTAAGAATGCTTTTACGGAAAAAACTAAGGTGGCTTTAATAAGTTATTTATATGGGGCGAAATTCGAGAGTGAGGAATTAATCGATTTCGCGAAAAAAAAAATGTTTTTGTCATTGAAGACTAGGCTGAATCTTTCACTTCGCCTACTGATAATGGCAATCCGAAAGTTGATTTAAGCCTCTTTTCGTTCGGAACAATAAAACCGTTTACTGCATATGGCGGTGGTATGGGAATATTGAGAAAAAACGAGATTATATATAGGAAGATAATGGATATATTGGAAAAATATCCTGAAATGACTACTTATTTTTACTTTAAGAAAATAATGAAAAATATTCCAATTTATATAGGCTTGAATAAGCCTTTTGTTTAAAATTTGATGAGACCTTTTTTCTCTAAGATAAATTTTGATTATAAGGATTATTTTGTATCAATGGTTCGAGGATTTTAGGCTAAGAAAGAATTTTTGGAAACTTTTAGATTATAAATGCCAACAGCAATGATGGGATTATTATATTTAAGGCTTAATGATTATAACTAGGTAAAATATCAAATGTAGGTAAAAAAATTATAATAAGCTTAAGATTAATTAGTTAAAAATGACATATAAGTACCAGGTAGTAGTTGTTAAGGAAGAACATTTTGGCTTTATCCTATTATTACAGATAATCATGAATTAATTTATTAAATTTTAAATGCGAGAGGAGTAGATGTTTATTTAGGGGCTACTTAATTGAATTTAGTAGAAAGTCCAGTTGGATCTAAGTTTTAATATCCGTTTAAAACTAAAAAGTTTTTTGAGAAAATAATTTATTTGCCTATTCATAGGGATGTGCCATAAGCTTATATTTAGAAAATTGTTCAGGAAACTATTGATGTTTGTAAAATGGTAAATTTGAAATTCGGAAAAAACAATGAAAAATCTAGTTTGTGAGAATTTTTTTTATATGTATTTTTTGTTTTGTTTTTGCTTTTTTTTAATATTTTTTTTTTTTTTATTTTTATTTTTATTTTTAATTTTTTTATATTTTATAAATTTTTTTTTTTTTTTTTTTTTGTAATTTTTATTTAATTATTTAAAAATTTAAATCTATTCTTATTTTTATTTAAAATTTTTTTTTTTTTTTTATTTATAGTAAAACTAATTTTATTTTTTAAATGTAAGTTATTTATTTAATTATTTTTTAAATAATTTTTTATTAAATATTTGTTAATGTTAATTTTACAAAATTAATTTTTTTTATTAAGGTTTGCTTAAAATAAGAAATTCATTTTTATAAATTAAATATAATTTAAATTATTTCCTATATTAAAAATAAACAAAAAAAAAAGCTTATATATTTGAAAAAATAAAATATGATTAACATTCTATATTTCTTTTTTATAAAAAAATAAAATAAAAAAAAATAAAAAAATTATTTTATATATTTTAATAAATTAATAGTTATTTTTTTTGTTTAAACAAAATAAAATAATAATTTATAAATAACAAAACATATATAATAAAAATGGAAAATCCATAACAAAATCAACAATAAGACTTAGACGATTAAAGAGATAGAGGCAAATAAATTTTATATATAAAAAATCGAAAGCAAAAAAATTTTATTACAAAAAAAAATAGAATTTATGAAAAACTATGCAACCATATTTTTCAAAACTAATTATTAATCTTATGGTGGTTGCAAATAAGTAAGTAATAAATTATGAAAAATATATAAGTATATATATATTAAAAAATTAAAGTTGACGTACCAAAAGAATATGGACATAATGGAAAATTTACAGATGTAAAAATATAATTATATAAAAAAATATATTAAATAATTATGTATTATTTAATACACTAGCATCTATTACATGCTACTATGTATAGAAATAACAGTTTAAATACAACTGTAGATAAAGAAAGATGGATAAACGGTTCTAAAGATTGGATGGAACATTTAAATTGAAAAATACATATATAAATATATATGTATAATATAAATATAAATATAAATATAAATATAAATATAAATATATATATATATATATTATATATATTTATATGGTATAAATAAAAATAGAAACTTATTAAAATAATTTCTTGTTATTTAAAAGAAAATAATATTTTTTAATATTATAATTTAAAATATTCATAATTCACCAAAAGTTAATTTTCCTTCTACAATTTCAAATATTTTTTAACTATCTTTAGATTAGATTACATTTTATTCTCCTCCTTTATCTTATTTTGTTAAAATTATTATTTTTTCAAGTTCTTTATTTTTTTAGTCCAATGCATTAGCTTTATCTTCCCAAAAATTAACTTGATTTTGAAGTTTTTTTAGTTCTTGTTAATTATATTACTATATTATCTATATAATAAAAAATATTATATTTTATATTTTTTTGTTTTGATTTGATTTTATTATAATTTTTCTGTATTTTTTATAAACTAAATTTTATTTTTATTAAAAAAGGCATGTATAGATATATAACATTCTTTTTATCTTATTTAGTTTTAAAAAATATTACAGAAAAATAAATAAAGATTAAAACAAGTAATATATATTTATATATATATATTTATACTCTATCTTAATTTAATTGCTATTAAATTTACTTTAATTATTATTTATAAATATCTAATTCTTAATTATTAGATTAATTTTATATTTGCCTATCAATTTTATCAATTACTTATTATTAAAATTACTAAATTTACATTTTCTAATCAAAAATTATATTTTCAAGTTATTTTTTTCATTTTTCAAATTATTTATGATTTAATCTTCGCTTTTATTAATTTATGAATTTTCATTTTATATGCAAACAAATCCATCAACTAGTTTTTGAATTTGAGTTTTCAATTATTTTTCGTTTTTTTATAATTCATATAAATTAATATTTTTTACTTATTATTTAGTTTGTATTTTTTATGGTAGAGATACATTATTTTTTTCATACAAATTATAATATTCTTCTATAGAATTTAATTTTAAATTAAGTTCTTAATTTTAACATTCTAAATATCTAATTTTTTATTAGTATAGTTATTATACTTCTTATACTTTTTTTTATAAACTATTATTATTTTGATTAAAAAAATCTATTTATTTTTACATTTCCATTTGTTTTTGTTAACTATTTTTTTAAATTTAATTAATTTATTATTAATGTTCGATTTCTCTTTATTATATATATAACTTTAATTATATAACAGTATTTTGATTATTTACCTAATCTTATTAATTATTTTATTAACTATTATGTTATTATTATTATTATTATTATTATTATTATTATTATTATTATTATTTTATTATTATTATAATTATAAATATGAATTTCTTATTTTTTTATAATATGAACTTGAATTCACATATATTTATTATTCTTTTTGATTCATATAAAATTTATTTTTTCTAATTGTTTATTCATTTTCTTTATTTATTTTACTTTATGAAAATTTTTTAATATTTTCATTATATTCTCTATCTTCATGCTTTATTATGCCTATTGATTTATTTTATTATTATAAATTTATTCTTACAGGACTACAGTAAGATTTAATTTCATTATTTTTTCCAATATCTGTTATCATACTATTGATAAGTTTATCTAAGTTATTTATATCCATAATTTTTTATTATTAGTATTATTAAATATTTTTAGAAATATAATTTACATGAGAATTATGCATTTATGACTTACTTAAACTATTTGGACTTTTTTTCAAATCTTATATTTATTTTTTTAAGCTATCAGATAAGTAATTTTCTCTTTTACAAAACGATTATTATTAGTTTATTTATCGACGAATTTCATTTGTTTATTTTATATTCTTATTATTATTTATATCTTGGCTTTTTTATCTATAATATTAATTCGATTTTTTTATTGAATTAATTATTGAACTAATGAATTTTCATTTTTTTTTTACATTGATAGTTTGTTTTTTGGAGTTAATAAATATGAATTTAAATCTTTTAAGACTTTTTCTTTAGTATTTTGTTTTTTTTTCATATTGTTTTCGATTTTTTCGTTTATATTTTGATTTTCTTTTGAACTGTTTTCCGATAATTCAGATTCTGAATGTGATTTTTGGTATCTTATTTTTTTTAAAAATTTTTTAAATTAGTTTTTTTTTTTACATTTAATATTTTATATCAAAATATATTCGAGCGTTCTTTATTTTACTATTTTATAATAAATCTGTATTTCTTAAGGGAATATCAGCATTATTTACATAGTTTGATAAGTTTATTAAATATGTGCCTAGTTTTTAGCTTTTTTCTTTTTCGAAACTTTCAAATATATATATTTGTAATTCAACCTTTTATTTTATATTAATTTATTTATTAAATTTTTACGTATTCGTTGCTATATTCATTATTTAACTTACATATTTAAAAATTTTATCGAAATTAAAATGTTTCTTTTATATTAAGTAAGTTATCAACTACGTTAAAAGGAATTATTCTTTTATTTTCAATTAAGTTTTAACCTTATATATATATATATATTATTTTTTATATTTTTATTTTTATTTTTATAAATTTTTAAATTATTTTTTTACCTTTAAATAAAGATACTTAAAAAAAACATTTTAAGGATTATAATTTATGTGAAGCTTTTTAACATTAATTTCAAAGTCATATTTTTAAACATATTTTTTCTTCATTAATTGTTAAATCTATATTTTTGTTAAATTTTTAATAATCTTTTGTTTATTTTGTTAATTATAAATAAAAATTAAAATTTATAATATCTTTATCAATTGTTTTTATTAAATAAATAAATAAAATTTTATATAAATCTTTAAATAAATAAAATATTTAAAAAATAAAATAAAAAAATAAAAAGTATTAATATTTTTATAAATAAAATTAATATATATAAAGATAAATATTATTATTAAATCATATTTAATATATTAAAAAAAATATTATATCAATATAAATAATATTAATAATTATATATATTGTAAATATATATATTATATATATTTTTCTTTATAAATATATATATTTCTTCTTTTTTATTACAGATAGAAAAATTATTATATAATAATAAAAATTTTATGTTATATAATTAATTAATATAATATTAATTTTTTAATAATTAATTAAATTTAATAGTTTAATTATTTATTTTTATAAAATTTATTTAATTAACTTTAAATTTTCATTTTTTTTTAATATAACTAATAATTTTCTTTTTATTTATCATTGTTTTATTTATTTTTTAACTTTAATTATTATTTTTATTTATATTATATATTTTTTTTATATATTTATTAATTTTAATATTTATTTTTAATAATTTTACTATAATTATGTATAATTTTCTATATATATTTTAATTTTGAGATTTTTGGTATATTTGCATAGTTTTTATTGTAGTTTTTTTTTTTTATATATATATATATATATATATATATATATATATATATATATTTATTATTATTTTTTTTTTTTATTATTTTATAGTTTTTTAATATATCAAACTTTTTAATGATTTTATATATTTTATTTTTAATTAAATAAATATTATATATTTATTACAATCATAATTTTATTAGCTATATACCTTTAATTTTATTTGTAAAAATATATAAAATACACTTAATTATATTAAAATAAATATTTTCAATAATGAATATAAGAAAATTCTTCAATAGTAAGCTTATCATCTATTTTCCTCCAAAAAATATATTAAATTCCAATTCTTTTAAATTCTCAACATGTCCCTAATAATTACTTTTAATCAAATTAATATTTTCTTAAAATGGATAATCGGATATAATTAACTATTTTTAAAAAGGATAAATTTCTGAAATAAACTCTTTATATTTATACTTTAAATTTTAACTACAAAGACTTTAATTTTACAATACTTCTACTTGATCACTCATAATATTAGAATTAGAGAAAA